AATTAAAGGCAAGGACATAATTCAAATGTTCCTCACTATTAAAAAAGTTTTTTTTTTAAATATAAGATCAAAAAAAAACTATCTACAAAGGTTTTTTACAATTTAAATTACTTGATTCAAATGTTTTTTGAATTATGTCCCTATTAAAATAATAAATAAATAATTATGTCTCTTCAAAGGGAACATAATTGATCTGCAAAGTCCAGATCTAAATCCAATAGAAAGTCTTTGGGCTGAGATTAAGAAGAGTATTTAAAATTGTAAAAATAAGTCATGTAATTTGATAGAACTTGAAAAGTTTGTCAAATCTGCATGGAAAAAAATCATTGTATTGATGATCAAATCACTGATAGACAGTATGCCAAGACAGATATTGGTTGTGATTTTAGCATATGGGAGACCTACAAAATATTAATATATTAAATATATTAATAAAATAATGTATATTTTTAAAAAAAAATTTTTTTACAAATATAATTAATTAATAAAAAAATTTACTATTGGCATTTGAACTGTTCGATAACTTTTGGCCACCTACTGTAAAGAAAAATTAATTCTGACCAATTAATTATACTTCCATTTAATGATTTTAATTGTATGGATAATAAAGTATTGTAATATTTTCTTCAAGTTGTGGAGTTTGGAAATTCAACATAAACATATTTTATAATAGATGGTTGATTGTTTTGTTGAAAATGAATTATTTCATCCTATTTATATAACTTGTAACATTTTTAGTATGCTATAAAGCTAATGAATTGATTTGACAGTCCAAGAAAATTTTTGATAGTATACAAGTAAAGATGGGTCCCTAAAGTATTTAGCATATAAAATTTACATTCCTTTATGTCCATGTCCCCTAGAGGACATAATTCCTAGCTCTTTACTTCAATAGGGACATAATTCCAAAAATGATTTGTATAGATACTTAAAACTATAAAGAACCTTTGTAGATAGTTTTTTTTTATTTCTTAATATAGAAATAAAAATTTTTAATAATAAAGGACATTTGAATTATATCCTTATAAATAATTTAGGGATCCATCTTTATATATATATATATATATATATTATATAAAAATTTTTGTATAGAAAAAATTTTATTTAGAAATTTTTTATTTCAAAAAAATTATAACAAGAAATTCAATAAATTATTTAAAAAATAATTGATACTTTTAATAAGATATTAAATCTAAATAAGTAAAATTATTAAAAAAATTTTTTTTTGAAATTATAGATTGATTTTCTAATAGTTTAAATATAAATCTTATTGAAAATTTTTTAAAATTAAAATAATTAAAATAGAAAAAAAAATTTTTTCAATAAAATTATAATTAATTTTATAGATTCAATTCAATAAAAAGAGAAATATAAATTAATAATTAAAAATAATGATAAAAAACTAAATTATCAATTATATATTAATAAATTTATATATTTTTTAAACTTTATTTTAATATATAGCATTTTTTATTAATTTCTATGCAATAGGTTTTAAATAATAAATAAATTTCAAAATTATAATAAAATAAAATTTATTAAAATTAATTAGATATAATGAAATATTAATTTTTATTATATACTGTAACTTAATATTATTTTTTGATATTATATTATATTTTGATATTATATTATATTTTTTAATAAATCTTAATATATTAAAATTTATTTAATAATTATTTATATTAATTAATATAAGTAATTCTTTGATCTGCTTTATAAATAATAAAATTTTTTATTATTTCTACAGATTATAATCAAAATTTTCTCGCGGTCAGTCCTGTTTCACTGCATTAATTGATTGAAATTTCCAAGAATGGGTAATTTCACACGGATTCTTCAAGGTCACAAGTTCACCGGTTTCATTGCTCCTGAGATATTCGGATGCCACATTGCTAACGTCATTCACGAGCTCAGCTATTGATTGTTGCACAGTAACGAACAAAATAATGATGAAAAACGAATAGATATTCGAATATTCCAGAAAACCTCTGACTGCATTAGTAATATATTATTTGTCACCATTTGAAATAAAGAAAAAAAGGGGGATCTTGGATGATCCAAGGAATCGATCGAACTCTTCAAGGATAGGCTATCCCAAGAGGCGGATACAGCATAAAAGATTCTTGCAGTTTGTATGAAAAAATTCACATGTAACAAGGAATACAGTAAACTAAACTTCGGTAAATCTCGAGATCTACTTTTGTTCTACCAGAAAGGAAATCAAATTTTATTAAAACGGTTATTTTGAATCGAGGAATATGTCAATACGAAATGGATATATGATAAATTATATTGGAGTCCAAAACAGTCATAAATTTAACCATTTTAGATTACACGTTTGAATTGCTGAAATATCCACAAATGCAATTAATGTAAATTTAGTGTCACTATGATTAAATGACTAAGTTTTTTAAGTTAAAATTATTTTTTTTTACTACCCGGTGGCTGTGATGGCGTGTGGTAGGACAATCGATACCGCGAGGTTTACTCAAGGAGATATTTCATAGTGAAGAATTGATTGATCAGGTATTTAAACCCCGCGTAAATTCCCAAGGGTTTACTCCCTCGAAAAGATAAGAGATAAAAAATTTTAATCCCCTAACATATGCATACATGTAGTGTAGATTTTTTTCTAAGAAAACATTAAGATTACTTTCCTTTTAGAACATAAGATTAAAAAAAAAATGGATTTGTTGTTTCACTCAACTATATAAAATTTTGTTTTTCTTTAAAAAAACAAGAAATACTAAGAACCAAAAATAAATCGTAAAAGGCGAATATTTAAGTCACTCCGAAAATGACATCTCGTCTCTAAATGAACGGATTCGCGGATTTTTCCACTTTACGCTCCTACGAAAAGCACATACATCCGCATTGCCATTTTGAACGAACTTCTTTCCGATGCTGCTGTTTGGGTGCGAAGCTCCACCTTCCTCAGAAGACGCTGAACCTATAATGGGAATTTGTAAATAGTCAATCTTGGTAGTCACAGTTTACGATATAAAAAATTCTAATAGGCATTCCCTTTCAGTAAAAGTGCATCTTTTCTAACTCATGTGATTTCTATTTTCATATTTTAAAGCATTGTAAATATCTCACTTGTAAATATTTTTTTGGCATATAACATAATTAATCATTCAAATGAGGAAGGGAGCGTTGAGAGATGACATAATAAAAGAAACGAGCATACAACAAAATGTTTTTTTATTGTAATTTTTGTCGCGATGCTTGCATATTATTCAGTTCGCGGTTTTAATATACACTCTTTGAGTTGGTTATCATAATTGCCAATTTTAAAATCAATTAATCGATTTGTGATATATTAAAAACCAATAATCTATCCAGATGATTAAAATAACTTGTCTGTGAAATATGAATATGTGTATGCGTAGAAATAATTAATCAACGTTTTCTAATGAGTACTGTAATAATGTTAAAAAATGTGATGCGATAATACTAATAAGCATATACTGTACTACATGTATATATCTACTGTAATTATTCTAACAACCTTTCTTTAAAAGTTCTGAAAACACACGTGCAGTATATACTATTTGATTTGGGCTACGTGCAAAAATTATTATTTCATTATTTCATCCGAGAAATATATCTCGCGTAATCAATAATGACGCATCGTGACTTCAGTTCCTAACCATTAAAATATCGACATCACATGTTCTACACCGAACATTTGTTTAAAAATGATTACATTTTATCTCGGGTTATAACGGTCCTGCGGACTGGCTGAATAAACATATATAATAGAATTTTATAACCTTTTTTTTGCTTTACAAATGTAATCATCCCCACTGATAAATTAAAAAAAAAACAAACTCAGATTAATTATCATATTGTATCAGAAAAGGATTAATTATCCTCAAAAACTTTCTGATTATTAGTTATCTTCGCTTAATACTTGATAAATACATCGTAGTTAACATAAAAATAAATAAATAAATTCAGCTCTTGTTCTATCATGAAAGTAAGAAAAGGTTTGAGGAAGATGAAAAAATTTCTTAATCCAGGTTCTAGCAACGTATCTGAAAAAACCTTGGAGAGTGAACGTAGTTGTAAGAATAATTTGGTTTCTTTTGTTATTCCTTTGACACGAAATTTTTACAGATTTACTGAAAATCACGTTCATTTAATCTCAAGCGATGAACGATACGACAAGTCTTAAAAAACACGGAAATGAATCAGATGAAAACACTAATCGAGAAAGCTTTGACCAAGTCGCAGAAGATCATTCAGGCAGTGAATCCGATGATGACCAAGATACGATGAGCGATGAGAATTCGACAACCGGGACTGATCACGCAGAACACGAATTATACAGAAAAGAACAAACCGAAAACGGCGAAACGAATATCATAGATCACGCGAAAAATGACGACGATGACAAAGAATTAAACTACGAAGAGAACATTAATGAAAATGGTGATCATGATCTCCGAGAAAGTTTACCCATTGAAAATAAGGATTCTGATTTAGACAAGGACCAGAGGGACGACAATGACCGTGATCTTAAAAGCTCAACTACTAATTCTGGTAAAACCGGAGAGTTATATAAAAGTCCAATTACTCAAAATTCTATTGCGACAAGCGAGGATCAGCGTACACATTTATCAGAACCAGATGATAAATATGTGAATGTTGAAAAACAAGAGGAACCAGATGATAAATATGTGAATGTTGAAAAACGAGAGGAACCAGATGATAAATATGTGAATGTTGAAAAACAAGAGAACTCAATCCCAAAGTCTTGGGATGAGGAATCTCAAAAAGATGATGCGGGGGATGAATGGAAATCACCGAATTCAGGTTATTTAATTCTTTCCTTCTATGATTAAAATATAAAAAAAAATTTTTTTTTAATGCATTTATCAATCTCCTTCATGGCTTCTTCCTTTTAGATCCACCCGCATGGAAATATCCAGATGATTTAAAGAACATCAAGAAAAATTCTAAGGGTGATCAAGTTAAACCTCAGACCAGTTCGAGTTTGTCCGCTAACCGCAACCAACATTTGACTCCTGTTCGTCGCGGATTATCACCAGAACAATTCGAAAACGGCGTGTACATAGGCAATCTTGACCAACTTCCACCAATGGGTATTGCATTTTATATGTTTGGGTTATATGTAGAGAGTGCGTTCGTTCAAATAGCCGACAAGATTCGAGTTATTGATAGAATATCTGGAGTCCCCATCAGCAACTGGTTCCTTTGGCTTTTTTCGTTGAAGAGCTGGATGAATATTGACGATGACGATAGGAGGATGTTAGAATAGTTAATAATTTTTCAGCGTTGTATAAAAAATTTTTTCTTACGTTTGTTTCGTAGTTTTCTTATCCTTTCTATAACGAGCATATTAATTATTCAACATGTAAAAGTATTGCGGCTTTTACAATAAACAATATATCATAATTTTATTTCTCAGTTTATATAATAATATGTTAAAGGCTCTTTGCCTATCTATCTATCTATCTATCGTCTTTAGTATAATTTTACATGCCAATATTCGCTAACAATATTATCAAATGGCACCATTTTATGAACAGTTAATTTCTTATAAAAATTGACAAGGAAAAAATGTATTTAGAAAATCTATGATAAAGATTTTAATATGCATTTTTTTGAATTCAAAGATACAATTTTTTTATTGCATAACAACTATTTTAATAATGTATTCCTGGTTATATAATATATGGTAGTTAAAATATTTTATATTTATAATTTAATATTTTGATTTTTGTAGTTGTAAAATTTTTTGAATGGCATACATAAGTATTATCAAATTAAAAATATATGTATATTTAAAGGTCATATTAAAACAAATATTAAATTCAACAATTTTGTTTAAATATGTTTTTTGAAAAATATTTAATTTAACATATACAATATAATAATATTGATGTAAATAGTTTATATATACAGTATATACAGTATATACAATAAAATTTGATATAATATAACCCTAGGGCAATTAGTAAAAATTTTGAAAATTTCATTATAGTGAGATTTTTTTAAATTTTATTATTAAATACATTATATCAAGATTATTTTATTATAACTATTTTAAGTTTATTTTACTATATCAAGATTTTTATATATTTCTGCTATATTAAATATCTGCTATATTGAATTTTATTATATATATATATTTTATTGTGCACCAGTATAATTGTTTGATTGAAAGTTATTTCATTTGTATATATATTTTTAAACATACAAAGAATAAAGCTACTTATAAAAATTTTTAAAGTGTATTATAAAAATATTATAAATTTTTAATTAAAAAACATAAAACATATTTTTTTAAATATTTTTTTATTTTTTACTCTTGTCATTAGCTCAGATACCTCTTATCACCTTTTTGCCAGTTTCCCGGTGTTTCTCCAGGATATAGGGGTAATGATGTCAGTCCTAAATATTCATCTTAGGCCTAAGCCTCTAAGTATAGATGGTGGGAGTGAAAAGTTGCTATTTCAAGGCAAGCAGACCTTTGCTATCATGTCAGAATAATCATTGCCTGCAACCACCACTATAGTATTTCAACCATTCAGTTTAGCCAAGACTTACTAGGATTTAATTAGTGAGATATCATTGGCAGGATAAGGGTACACCAATATACCAAATTCGTCTGGGAATCAGATTCAGCCTTACCCTTCCTAATCTAACCTAGCAACACATACGAGGGGTTACAATTTATGGAGGCATGCAGTCAACCATCGCAAGTATACTCCTTAGGATAAAACATCCCGTGATACAAGTGACCTTTTGCAATCCCGACCAGATCCTCACTACCAACGGACATGTGAAACTCTTACTGATAGTTGTGTAACTAATAGTTTTAGCCATCTGTACCTTTCCTTTCACTACTGGAAAGATCCCATGAAACTTCTTTCCTCTTTTGGAGATATTTCCCGAGCAATACTTGATCAGAAAGTTTTATTAATCAAATCATCTATCTTTTTGACATATGGGATGTAGTCTACCTATAAGGCTTTTTGATCGCTGGAACAACCCAAGTTGCTTTCTATTATGAGTTACAAGAGCAGTGACACAAAGTTACATTTTAGAATATGTGAATTGCCCCTAGCTGGGGTTGAATCATGGTTTATAGGTTAGCTCTACTCTGCCTTAGCCCACTGAACTATAACCAGATAGGTCAACATATTTTTTTAAATATATATATATATTTTTCTAATAGATAAACATCATTTCTTTATTTATAACATTATACTTAAAGTTATATATATTAGTAAAAGAAACAATATCTTTTGGATGCAAAACATACAACAAGTTAAATATTAACTTGCTTATATATCTACAAGAGAGTGAAAAAAGTATTGGATGTTTTATATATTATAAAATACATTTATATCATTAGATTTAGTATTTATTTTAATAATTATTTTTTGATAAATTATTTATATATAATGATGATCTATAATCAAAATAAATATCATTTTTGTATAACATGTTTAAAAAATATAAAATTACATGAGATTTTTTTTAAAAAATTTGTTTCTTTAAATTTATCACATCAATATATTATGAAAAAGAATTAATAGAAAATCAGAAAGGTAAAATTATCATAACAAAAAAGCTTAATAATATATATACTAAAATATTCAAAGTTGTGAGTTATACTCACTCCTTTATAATATATATGTTAAAAGCACATAAGCTTAAAAAGATATTCAAGAAACAAACCAGTTGTTTAGGAATTCTTAACAAATATGCATACAACCATTTCAAGGCTTTAGTAATTCAAAATAAAAATTCTTATTGCCAAATCCTTACTCAAATATATTCAATCTATCTAAAAAAATATATAAACATTTTTATATAAACTATTAGTAAAGAATTAGTCAAAAAAAATATTTGCTTATAAATTCACCACTATAAACCATAAATTTCTAAAAAAAAATAAAGCAAAATATCTTACTTGAGCACTTGCTTACTAGTATTGGAATAAAAAAGACTTTAAAAAAATTATGTGGTTGGACAAATCTACTTTTATACAGTTCCAAACTGTGGGTTTTGAATAAATTTGATGTAAATATTCTGAAGAGTTTTATGAAGATTGTATTGTGGCTGTAGTTAAAAAAAGTTAAAATCAAATGGTTTGGAGATATTTTTCTTGAATTGGCTTGAATTCCTTGGTTTTTTTAGTTGGTTGTGTTACAGGTATAATATATTATAATATTCTTAAAGAATATGCCATTTCTACAGTCAAATTGCATGTAAAAAAAAAAAAATAATAAATTATTTTTCAGAAGAATAATGCTTCTATTTATATCACAAAAGTCATAAGATCATTTATTGTCTCTTCAAAAGTTGAGCTTCTTCTGTGATTAGTACAAAGTTCTGATATAAATCCTATCAAGAATATTTGGTTTATATATTAAGGTTAAGATTCATCAACATAGCACACAGCCTTCAAGTATTGTATAATTAGAAACATGAATTAATGAAGAATGGAAAGTGATATCAGTAAGTTATTATAGAAATTTAATTAAATCAATGCTACAAAGAATTTAGGCTATTATTACAACAGAGAGGGGTTATATAAAATATTAGAATTATTAAATAAATAAATATATAAATTGTTCATTAAATTAAAAAAAAAAGTGTTCAATACTTTTTTCATCTTCTGTATATCTAACTAATATCAAAAAAAATTTAAAACAATATTGTATATACTAAATATAGCTAAGAGCAGCTATACTTATTTACTTAGAGTTTTTTGATTGGATATAAAAAGAATAAGAAATTGAAAAAAATTGAAAAGAAAAATAAACTAGACTACAATAATATTGGCTACTGAAATTAAAACTAAGTTACTTGAACTATAAGATCTATATAAACAAAAAGAATATTCAAAAGGTGGCCAATTGTCTGACCCTTGTACCAGTACTAGTCTTAGAGACATAATTTTTATTGACATGAATAATAAAGTATAATTGATATTATTTATTGTTATGGTTGTTGTTATTATTGTTGTTGTATTGAAAAACTGGATTGAACAGGTTCAGTTTTTTCTTTGTTGTTTTGATAAAATCTGATTGGATAATTGAAGAGTGATAATTATCTAAAGAGATAAACTGATTTTAATTTTTTGAAAATTTTGAAATGATGCAATAAATAATACTATAATAAAGTTATATATAAAGGTTGTGTTAAAATAAACAATAAATTTAATAACTTTGTTTGAGTATGTTTTTGAAAAAGTGTTTTATTTGACAAATATAATGATATTAATGTGAATAATTTTTGTAATATAATAAAAGAAAGGAGAAATACAAGAGAACAAAAAAAAAAAAAACTGCTATAAGTTTTTTCTTAAGCAACTGAAGAATAAGCATAACTTTCAAACTTGAGTAGACTTTGACTAGAGATCCCATTCCACTGCACCAGTTGTTTTGAAAGTTCTTGAGTTCTTGAGCTAGGACTCACTTGCAATAAAGAGTATAAAATATTTTTTCTTGCTTAAAATTATTATAAAAGAAAAATTTTTAACAAAATGGATACAATCAAGTGAGAGTTTTTTTTTGAGAAGATTTTCTTCAATAGGTAAACATCATCTCTTTATTTGTTATTGTATATTAAAAATATATATTGAGAAAAAAACAATATCTCTTAAGTGTATTATTGTAAACAAGTTAAATACTAGCTTGCCTACTTGATTACTATCTAACTAATATTATAAAAAATTTTAAAAGCAATACTAAAATATTAGATAGTGAAGTAGCAGCTATGTCTATCTACTTGACAAAATTTTGCAAAATTTTTTAATTTTCTAGATATAAAGTAAATAAAAAGAAAATAACAAATATAATTAAAACTAAAACTAAGTTGAATGAACTATAGAATCTATAAGTAAAAATTCAATTATTTTTTTAAAAAAGTCTCCGAACAGGCACATGGTCCTATTTCTCTGGTTCTTTGATTACCATAGATAAATAAATACACATGATATTGCTTGTTGTTGTAGTTGTTGTTGTAATACAAAACCAGTTTGGATACACTCGGTTTTTGTTTTTATTTTTATATGAAATCTGATTGGATGATTGTAAGGTACTGATCATTTGGAGGGGATAAATTGATTTCAGTTTTTTGGCCAGGTGAAAATGTTGTGAGGATTGTAGTGATGCAGCAAGTGTCACCAGGATATTGTAATTGAGGTTGACTTGAAACAAACAGTAAATCCATTAACTCTGTTTAAGTATGTGTTATGAATAAAAATAGGTTCTTAAATTAAAGGTGAGGATATAATTCAAA